TAACCACTCAGCCACGGGGCCAGCTCCCTAAATTCCATTCTTTATTAGTTTTCATCTAATATCTTTTTTGTTCCAGAATCCCATCCAAGTTATCACACTACATTTAGTCGTCATGTCTCCTTAGCCTCCATTGGTCTGATAGTTTCTCAGACTTTCCTTGTTCTTGATGACTCTGATGGTTTTGAGGGTACATTTTAGAATGTCTTATTTGGGGCTTACCTGATGTATTTCTCATGGCTTTCATAAGGAAGATCACAGAGATGAAGTGTCATTCTCATCACATGGTATCTAGGGTACATACTGTCACCATGATTTGCCACTATTGATGTTGACCTGGATCATCCGGGTAAGGCGGTGTTCGTCAGGTTTCCCCACTATAAAGTAACTCCTCTCTCCCCCATTTTCCATACTGTACATATGTACAGAAGTTTCAGAATTGTTAACTGTTTTGTCTTTAACCTGTCAGTCATTTACAAAGATTAGCACCTTTTCTCCCCACTGGCCTGTACAGTTCTATTTCCTCTTTAGATTGAAATTAGTAGTCAATGCTTTACGATTAAGAGATGTCACATATCTGATATCTAGCTTCTCTAAAAAAAATTGGCAAATATGGAAACATTGTCTCACATCCCCCAGGGGCAATAATCAGCTGAAACTTTAGATGGGAACGTCCTCCCAGTTCAGTACAGTCCTCTCGCAGCCTGCTTTACTCCTTCCACTGAAGGCATTTGAGTTTGCAACCCTTCATTAAGAGTGGAGCAGGGAGACTGAGAATAGATGAACTACACAAGCTTGGGAGGAACGTCTGCACTAGGCGATCACTTGTGGACTGACTTCTCCAATATTGCAGGTAGCTCAGTGGCTGCCAAAAATGTTTGAGCTTCTACTTACCTTTTTTTTTTGAGGAAGATTAGCCCTGAGCTAACTACTGCCAATCCTCCTCTTTTTGCTGAGGAAGACTGGCCCTGAGCTAACATCCATGCCCATCTTCCTCTACTTCATACATGGGACGCCTACCACAGCATGGCTTTTGCCAAACAGTGCCATGTCTGCACCCGGGATCCGAACCGGTGAACCCTGGGCCACCGAGAAGTGGAATGTGCGCACTTAACCACTGTGCCACCAGGTCGGCCCCTCTACTTATCTTTTGATCCTTTAAAAATAAAACAAAAATGAAGCTAGCCAAGTGGCATAGCAGTTAAGTTCGTGCACTCTGCTTTGGTGGCCTGGGGTTTACGGATTTGGATCCCGGGCACAGACCTACACACCACTCACCAAGCCATGCTATGGTGGCATCCCACATTAAAAATAGAGGAAGATTGACGTGGATGTTAGCTCAGGGACAATCTTCCCCACCAAAAATAAATAAATGAAAACTAAAACAAAGACAAAAACAGCACACCTGGCTGTCATTTCCTATAGATCTGTGATGTAGCAGCCAGTTGTGGATGAACATTACTCAAAAGAAGTGACAGACAGGGGGCCGGCCCAGTGGCGCAGTGGTTAAGTTCACACGTTCCACTTTGGTGGCCTGGGGTTCGCCGGTTTGGATCCCAGATGCAGACATGGCACCGCTTGGCATGCCATGCTGTGGTAGGCGTCCCACATATAAGGTAGAGGAAGATGGGCATGGATGTTAGCTCAGGGCCAGTCTTCCTCAGCCAAAAGAGGATTGTCAGCAGTTATCTCAGGGCTAATCTTCCTTCACCGCCCCCCCCCCCCCCCAAAAAGTGACAGACATAACACATTCTAGAGATTGAAGGCAGGACAATGCATGTTGCAATTCACTGCGCCCTAGCTGCGCTAGAGATCCACTTAGTAGTGGCTTTTGACTGCTCTGGTGGCCTCTGCTGGTGTTTAAGTTGGAATCCACAGAACACTGATGCTTGTGACCCTGGGGATGAACACATCCCTCTAGCTCCCAGTAGTTCCTTCTCACTTTCTTCCTCCAAGCTCCTCCTCTTCACCAAGTTCATTGTTGTACCCACCTAAATATTCCCCTTTTAATTGAAGACTCCTTTCTCTTATTCAGATTTTCATCAACATAAATAACTTTTCAGTCTTCATAGAGTAGGAAAGGATATTGCTTCTTCCCATTTTTCATCAGAGGAATGTTCTTGGAAGGCAACCTTCTCATTTGCTGGTAATATATCTCAAAAAGTCGGGCACATCTTGTTGCATAATCTTAGATTTTTAACTTCTCTGGATTTTGACTTTGATTCTTGTAAAATGATTCTGTTAAACAAGGGTCACAGAAGGTGGACATGTACATTGCATCCATGAGGTATTGATGGCATTCAAAAGCACAAGTTCCTTTATGTCGTATTTATCCTATGTTCTCACTTACTATCTTTAGATAATAGGTATATAAAAATTACAAGTTGCTTTTCTTTAGTACAATCTTGCTGGGAATAGCCCCAGTGGGTGCTATGTGTTCCACATAATCATGACTAAAATTTCTTGGCTAAGCCAACCATGGAAATGAGAAAACAATTCTGTGGGGACATTATGACTTAGGTAAGTTCAGGTGCAAGACTCTCATCCTGCTTCCACTAGACAGTGTCATGCAGGAACACAGTATCTACATTAGGGTACCAGATCCCAAACAGTTCCTTTTTAAATTAAAATTTTGGTGGGTATCCCTGCTATGCCACAAAGTAATAAGACTAGTCTAGTAGTAAGAACTACTCTGAAGCAATCTGTAAGACACAGTAAGCAGTGAGGCCCTGACACCACTAATGAGGTAAGAGCTCTGGTTTTCAAAGCTATAGCTGTAGAGAGGCTGTTCTTGATATGAACTAGGATATGCATTCCACATGCTATTTTCAGGAGCTGGAAAGAGTTGTAGGAAGCCTTCCACCTGTCAATCTCAGACACAACTTTCTGTGAGAAAAGCCAGATTCCTTAAGCAGAGCCAAGTCAACTAGGTGTTGAAAGGACCTCAGGTTGGACTAGGCTTCAAAATTTTATTGTTTAACTAGAAAATGAGAGGGACAGCTGGGGTAATGTGCTGATCCCCAGAATTTGATAATCTCACTCCAAATGCTGTTTCACATCCAAGTTTTTTTCTCCCCTTCTAATAATGCCCCTTTATGGAGTAAAACTGAGTACCACTGATGTCATGCAGGAAGCTTTGTTTCACTGACTGCAAATACTAGATGCAGCTCTGTAGCCAAGGTTAATTAGCTCAAAGCCCAATTACTATAACATACTGTCTGACCCCATTTTTATAAAACTTAAGAAAATGCAAACTAATCTACAGCGACAGCAGATCTGCTGTTACTTGGGCATAGTGGAGGATGGGAAGAGGCACGAGGAATCTTTTGGGAGTAAAGGATATGTTCACTATCTTGCATGTGTTAATAGTTTCATGGGTGAATTCTATGTCAAAGCTACTCGTATTACCTTAAATATGTGCAGCTTATTGTATGTCAATTATATTTCAATATAGGCTTTTCTTTTTAAAAGACCAAATACTCAGTAGGTTAGGAAACAATCAATCTACTTGAGTGGCCACTGTGGAAAGAATATGCCACATTTGTTTAACACGCCCAAGTGACCAATTCTTTCCCATTGAGGCTACATGAAAGGCTAAAATGTAGCATGAAGAGTTTTAGGGTGAATTAGAAGAACAAGAAGTTTAAGGGTGAACTAGAAGAATGAGCCACTGCCCTGAAATATGAAGGGTCTGTGACATTAAGGGCAGGGGCCTGCCTTTTAAACTCCGTACCTAGACGTCTATTAGATAACAACTAAGACAGCTAACATGGGTGGTCTAGCTGTACTATTTCAGAGCTGTGAGGCAGTGAAAGGAAGTAAAAACAAACACTGATTACATTTTTAAAATTTATTGGTTTTTTTCTTTTCTTTTTTTGTTGCTGTGGATTTGTTCTTGAGATGGCTACAACACCAGACAGAACAGTGCCCTCATACCTAACGCTTGGGCAGGGTTGCAACTCCTTTAAAACAGTAAGATCTGCTTTGGTCTTCCCTCTCCCGCCTCACCCCCCATGGAGTCAAATAATTTCCACATTTCTTAGTAAAATACAGTTAGCCCTGTAAACACTTTCTTCTATATTCCCACTGCTTTTTTTCTCTCTCATGTCTGTGGGTGAAAAATTAATTAAAAAAGAAAAAAAAATCTTAAAAAAACCTAAAACTTAGAATATACATTTATATCCCACTCACCCCAATTTTGGCTCTTCTCTCCAAGGCTGATGACAAGCCAACATGGATTGGAAGTAGATTTAGAGACAGACTAGGGTCAGGGGTGGGATATACATGAATTTTGGCCCTGGCAGGTCCTATTATCACTGATGTGATCATGATAAAAAACAGAGCAGGCTCCTTGCTTACTCCTCCTTGTCTGAACAACTCTAAAGGTGGGAAGAAATAGTTGAGTGGGAGAAATTTCTAATCACTTTCATTAAAAGAGGAGGGAGAAAGGGAAGGGAGGTGGGAGAGAAAAACAGAGGACAAAACAACAGAAAACCTTGAGAGATGATCTCGACCCTTTTCTTTAGCTATTTAACTCATGTGAATTCCCATTTTCCCTAAGTAAATGTTTTTCATTTCACAGAAAGTTTCTTTTACTTTTGTGTGCACATGCATGTTAGCATGTGTGTGTAGGTACATGTATGTATGCGTGTGTGTCGTTTGCTACCAGGCGAACGTTTCAGTTCTGGTTTCAGTTTAGTTTTCCTTTTTTATTTCCTTAAAATTATTTTTCCTTTTCAAAACAAGTTCACCAGGAAACCAGCTCCCCTCCCACCACGCCAGATAGGCCACAGCCATCTTTTTTTTAAACCGCGCTGATTTTCCCTCACACCCCAAACAGGAACTCCTCAGGATGGCCTCGGAAGGCTGGAGTCTCTCCCTGTCTGGCGGGACGCCCTGGTGGCGGTGAAGGCCCCTCTGCCACAATGGAGTTTTCTGATTGTGGGACACAGTCTGGTTTTTGTTTTCTTCCTGTCTTCTAATTTAAAAAGACATTCCTGACAAAAAGAGAAAAGATAGTCAATAAGTGTGGTCCAGGAGATAGTGAGCATTTTATGAAGTCAACCTCAAGACAGAAGTTTCTATACTTGCACAGGTAGCTCATTCTGGCCTCTGCCACAAGAACTCAGTACAAAAAGGAAGAAGTTGGGTTTTTTATTTGTGATTTCAAGGGAGCTACTGCGTTAATGAAATAATGTCTGCAGTTCTTTTCCAATTCTGAGTGTGCTGTGGGAACCAGGGACGAAACATCAATGGAGAGCCAACAGGCAGAGGCCACCCACTCCAAACCAACCCGAAAATTTTCACCTCAGTCTGGTTCAGTATTAGAGTTGGAGGTAAGACTTTATTTTGAAGGAAGGCTTTGCCTGCTAACAAAAGTTTAAAAACCACTGATTTAGACTCTATGGAAAGGGTTACTACATGAAAGCATTAAGAAGAAGGGTTAAAAGTGAGGACTGGCACTAGAATGTCTATACTTGAATTGTGGCTCTATCAATTACTGACTGTAACATCTAGCAAATTGTTTAACATCTTGGAATCTCAATTTCCTCATTTGTAAAATAATATTATTTATACTATTAGTATAATTATAATAGTAACTAGTGATAATATAATTAACTCAGAATAATAATAGTAACTGACCCAGAGAACTGCATGAGGATTATCTTAGTTAATACATATAAAGCACTTAGAACAGTACCTGACACACAGTAAGGGCTCCACAAATGTTAGCTGTGAACACCCAGAGTTGTCCACAAGCCTGTGTGTGTCAATGTGTATTACAGATACTGCAAAACCTAAGGATCCCAAATATTATCACTACTCACTAAAGAACTAAAGTTTAGAAATAATTTCTGGTGTGGAGAGGCCCTGCTGAACAGCACCTTCACCTACTAATGCGTTTAATCACAGAAACATCAGTGAGAACGCTGCACATTCATTGAGAACTGCCTCCTGGGAGAATAAATTCTGCTTACGACGTCAAAAGATGGGCTTAGAGGAGAACTGTCTTTCTTCTTTCAGTCAAAAAACTGGCACCCACATCCCAATCCTTTCTTGCCCCAACAAAGCTTCTGCTTCAGCATCAGGAGACAGGAAGCACATGGAGAAAACTGATAATCAGGAGCTAGACAAAGATGCTAGCTCCTTTTTCTGTTATCTCCTGCCTCAGTCAAAACCTGGCATTTCAGTGTTCAAATTGTAAAAGTGCTAAGAATAAGCATCTTTGTTCATTAAATCTGAAAGGTTGGTTTTAGGAGAATGGTGCTATGTATCATGGTCAACTTTAGGTCAGCCTCATTTTCATCATACTAATAGCCAGGTTAAAAAAGACTTGTTTGTTACCATACACACTTACCATCCTAGAAGCGTCTGTAAAGGGAAATGGGGAGGAATTATTTTTTTGAGATAGTCTGCAATAGCAACTTTCTTATGGGGGTAAAAATGGCATCCAAAGGAAGCTGATGATTTTCTGGCTACCTTGGCCCAAGAAAATCGGGGCCTTGCATTTCCGAGCTATTCAACAGCATTAAACTATTAAGTCCTTCCCTGACTCTAGCTGTAGTACTAGTTTCATGATGGACATTAAAACCTATACCCAGCCCCAGGTACTCACAACAGCCAGGGGAAAAGCTGGGAACTACGTAACACTCACCTGGGTGACAGGCACAGTGCAGGAGTGTGAGCTATCGAAACAACCTGGTGAAGTCTCGCAAGGCCCAGCAAACTTGTTTACATTCCTCAGCACTAGAAAAGACAAGACAGGTTGGACCCTGACTGATAAGAAAGATGCATAATACACTGAGAAGCAGCTGCAACATAGAGGCACACCCAGAACCGTCCCAGCTCTGCTGGGAGCTCTCTCCATCATCTCTTGACTCTGCTCTGATCTTTCTATAACTCAAGGGTAAATATTAACTATTTACATGAGAATAATTATAAGTTGTGTGGTCCTTAAAGAGTGGGCTCTGGAGAAAAACTACCTAGGTTTGAATCTTGGCTTGTCTGTGTCTTTGGGCAAGTTAACAATCTGCCTCAATGTCCTAATCTATTAACCTACCTCATAAAGTTTTGAGGATTAAATCAGTTCATATACGTAAAGTACTTCAGATAACAGAGCAGTAAACAAAACAATATTCAACAAATGTAGGCTGCTACAACAATAACAACACTTGGTTGAAGTCCTTGACATAACTACAAGAAAGCCAGAACCCCCAAGTAAAAAAGCAAGCACATTCACCAAAGGCTGACAGTTTTAACTCTACAAGCTAAGCTAACTAGGTGCCCTGGTTTCCTCATTCTCTTCCAAAGGCAAATTCTGTTTACAAAGCCCAGTTCAGCAACTAAGTCTGTATCAGTTATCGATTTTCTAGGTGAACAGGCCTGCTCAAGGTTTCCTCCTGTGGAAGGAGGGAGAGGAGAGAGGAAAGGGTTAAGGCATGTAGAAAGGGAGGAGGAGGAAGCAGGACTTGGTCCTCAGGCAAGCACTGAGATGCCTAGGTCGTATGAATAACCCAATATTCATCTGATCCTATTTTTTCAAAAGGTCTCCTTTGTCCAAAACTGCCACCAAGAAACTAGTTGATGCCAGCTTCATTCTTTTGTGTCAGTCTTCATAACTGTTTTTGGTAACTGAACACGAGGCTAAGCCAAAAACAGTGGAAAAGGAACTACTTCCTAATATGCTCACTCTTCCATGGTCTTCTCTTTGCCTCAGAAAAACTCAAGGACCACAGCCTACAGCTTAGGATTCAATGTTAGAAGAAAGCGCTCTCTCCTTGTAACAGTTAAACACAAGAGGAGGAAACTGCTAATAGTGATCCAACAGAAAAGAAGGTGAAATGAGAGCTATTTCCTTAAGTGCCCACATCTGGATTTCCCCACCTATAGGTCTGAAACATCATTAAGAACTTTGATTTAGACTCCAGGACTTGATTCAACAGGATATTCTAGCAACTTCCTTCTAGTCTCTCTCCATCCTTAAAATATAATAAAAATGAGGAAAGTTGTCTGGTTTTATTGGAATTCTGCCATTTGCTCTTTGTGAATTCAAAATACTTTAATGAAAGCACTACATTTCTCAGTCTATTTCCAAATCAATACTGACTGATAAGGAGGCAGCCCGGGTGATTGAGCCCCTATCACTCATGTTCCCAATGTCACGAAGGAGGAAGACACTAATCCAAGAGAAGCCTCTGTGTGGTATGTTATAAGCAAGACAATAAGAAACAGTTAAACTTAGGATAGTGCTGAAGACTCAAAAGTCTTTTGCTATCCTAATGCCTTACATGTTTTATTTATTTATTTTGAGGAAGATAGCCCTGAGCTAACATCTGCTGCCAATCCTCCTCTTTTTGCTGAGAAAGACTGGCCCTTAGCTAACATCCATGCCCATCTTCCTCTACTTTATAGGTGGAACGCCTACCACAGCATGGCTTTTGCCAAGCGGTGCCATGTCTGACCCGGGATTCAAACTGGTGAATCTCGGGCCACCGAGAAGCGGAACGTGCGAACTTAACCGCTGCGCCACCGGGCTGGCCCCCTCCTTACATGTTTTAAATTCTACCCTTCTACCAGAGATCTTGGTTTAATCTGGAAGAGAAATGATAACTCCACCCTTACCCTCTTTTGAGACCCATGAGAAAACGTACTGAAACCAAAATGCAAGTACAGGAGAACTGTGGTGTGACGGTGAAACGAGGCACGGGCCACAGTGTCTCCAGTCAGCTCAGCTTCTGCTCCCAATCTTGTCAGCAAGTGCTTTGCTGTCAAGAGCTTCAGCCAAATGTTTAATGTAAGTGTCCACAGTGATTAAGCCCAAAGAAATGGATTTTAAAAAAACCTCCTTAAAAGCTATAACTATTTTCTGTTTTCTGTCTCAGTCGCTCTGGCATTTAATATTTCCTGGTTTTTCATGTTATTTATTTATTTATTTTAAACTGCCACTATTTTGCTAGGTTCTATTTTCTGGCTTCAGTCTCACAATCCCAATCCTTTCACCACACTTCTGAAAACTTTTATGGTCACTATCCCTCAAGACCTGTAATCCTAGGAGTGTGCTGAGAAATATGACCATTTTCATCTGGATGTTCTGGTAGATAATGGAGAGTAACCAAGCTCCAACTAATGACTTGAGCAAGAAGACACCCCCATAATAGCCTCTAATTCTGGTGTCAATGCCTCCTATATTGTTCAATATCTTCTGACCTTGAGATCCTTATGCAAGTGATAAGGGTCACAAAATAAAGACCAGGATAGAGAAATGGGAAACGAGGGTAGAATTTCTTCTAATCCTAATTAGTAGTGTTTAGAAAGCAAGAATGGTATTTTAGAATGAAAAATCCCAGGTTTCTTCAAGCTGACCAACTAAAATACTAGGGAATTAATTAATTACCAGTACCATTTGAAAAACAGGCTTGGACTTGCTGAAGTGAAACAGAACCAGTTCAACCTCCCTGTTATGATGGCAAACAAAGCAGCATGTTGAGGCAGGAGTTATAGGACCTTAAAACCAAAAGGGAGACTGAGTCATGCACGGAACAGAAAGTTCACGGGCAACATGCATACTAAAGAAAGAGAATTACTAAGAGGAGGTGAGCAATCTCAAGCCCTTTCTCTAGCACCTCAACATTACCTCTTACTTCTGTTCACGTCCCTCCATTATGTCACAGCCTGCTATACAGGAGGAGCTGCAGAACTTGTCTAGCAATGAGAGATCAAGTAGGTCAGGGTGGTAGCGTACTATATTTTCCCATATCACAGGGAAAGATCACAGATATTTCTGTTCACAGCACTACATTATTTGGATTCCTTTTCCTTGACCCAAGATTTTCCTTAAATTAGGGAAAGTCCATGACTTTTAGTTCAGATTTACTCTATTCTACCTGTCATATATCAGCCTGGATGAGGGAATATGGGCTTGTTGGAGACTTATTCCAGAATGTGTGGGTGGTTGCCTTAGAGCTGGCAGGAGACACGCTCCAGCTAGTTTTGCAAGTACATAATGACATTCTGACAGGTTCTTTTCCAACGAGAAAGTTAACATTCACTGATCACCTACTACGTGCCAGATCTTTAGATTTCCACATGGTATCTCATAATAACCCTGAGATAGGTATTATTAACCCTATTTTACAGATGAATAAGCTGAAGTTCAAAGTAACAGTCAGTGAGAGGCAAGATTCAAACCAACATCCTTGACTCTAAGCCCAGTCCTTTGAGGGTTCTCCCTAGCTGCCCATTTTCTCTAAGGAAATTACAGCCAATATGATCCTGCGCTACTACTGACCAACCACTAGATGGAAGAGAGCAAAACAGAAGCAGAGAGAAGTAACTGTTACAATTCTTTCCCCTGAGAGAGCTTGTAGGCGGAACACTACTTCTACTGGGAAGATTCATAGCAAAAAGAAATAATTTTGTAAGGTCATCCCAGTCAATATATGCCTACCTGGTAGAAGGGAAATCCCCTCTTCCAGCAAAACGTGTTACAAAGCCAGTCATATGCTATTCTTCAGTCATGCATGTCACTTGATCTACAGCCAAAAGTCAATTACTTCTGGGGCATGAAGTTAAAGCCACTTAGTAAGCTACTAAAGAACAGCACTCAAAGGTTTGGGAATTTAACATTAACAAAATTATTACAGATACTCCAAGAGATGAGAAAGTAAATCATTTTGGAAGGTGACATTAAGAAATCAATTTTCAGAGAAGATGATTAGCTCTTGTACCATTGCCTAAAATTTAATTTCTCTCCCTTTTAAAAACTAGGTCTGGTTTTAATTATAAAAGTATACCACATGCTCATGAAAAAAATGCAAATAGTACAGAAGGTTATGAAATGAAAAGTTAAAGTCTCCCTCTCCTCCCATCCTGGTCCTAGTTGTATACCTTTCTAGAAATTTACTATGCATAAAGTAGCCTGTATATATACAACATATATAATGAAACAGCTTTTAAAAGTGCAAGTTGGTTCTTTTACAATAGCATCAAAAAGAATAAAATATTTAAACTACAAAACATTGCTAAAAGAAATTAAAGACACCAACAAATGGAAAGACATCTCATGCTGATGGGGTGGAAGACTTCATACTAAGATGTCAGTACTATCCACAGTGACCCACAGAGTCAGTGCACTCCTGATCAAAAGTCCCAAAGACATTTTTTGTGGAAAAAGAAAAATCTATCCTAAAATTCATATAGAATCTCAAGGGACCTCAAATAGCCAAAATAACCTTGAAAAAGAACAAAGTTGGAGGTCTCACCACTTCCCAACTTCAAAACTTATTACAAAGCCATAGTAATCAAAACAATATGGTACTGACATAAAGACTGACACACAGACCAACGGAATAGAGAGCTCAGAAACAAATCCCTTGTATACATATGGTCAAATGATTTTCAGTAAGGGTGTCAAGACCATTCAACAGGGAAAAGGACAGTGCTGGGAAAATTGGATATCCACATGCAAAAGAATGAATTTAGACCCTTAACATACACCATATACAAAAATAACTCAAAATGGATCAAAGACCTAAACGTAAAACCTAAAACTATAACACTCTTAGAAGAAACCAGGAGAAAAGCTTCACGATATTAGAATAGGTAATGATTTCTTGGATATGACACCAAAAGCACGGGCAACAAAAGTACAAACAGATATGGAGAAATTAGAATCCTATGTTGGTGGGAAGGTAAAATGGTACAGTTGCTATGGAAAACAGTATGGAGGTTCCTCAAAAAATTAAACATAGAATTGCCAGCAATGCTACTTCCGGGTATATATCCAAAAGAACTGAAAGCAGGGTCTTGAAGAGATATTTGTACACTCATGTTCACAGCAGCATGAGTCACAATAGCCAGGAAGTGGAAGCAACCCAAATGTCCATCAACAGATGAGTAGATAAATAAAAGATGGTATATATATACGATGGAATTCAGCCTTAAAAAGGAAGACAATTCTGGTACATGCTACAACATGGATGAACCTTAAGGACATTATGCTAAGCAAGTCACAAAAGAACAAATATAGTATGATTTCACTTATGTGAGGTATCCAGAGTAGTCAAACTCATAGAAAGTAGAATGATAGTGGCCAGGATCTAGAGGGTAGGGGAATGGGGAGTTGTTTAATACTATAGTTTCAGTTTTGCAAGATGAAAAAGGATCTGGAGATTGCGTGACAATGTTAACGCACTTAGCACTACTGAATAGTACACCTAAAAATGGTGAAGACAATAATTTTGTGTGTTATTTATCACAATTAAAAATAAAAGAGAGCCAGCCCTGATGGCCTAGTGGTTAAAGTTCAGCATGCTCTGCTTTGGCAGGCTGGGTTCAATTCCCAGGCACGGAACCACACCACTCGTCTGTCAGTAGCCATGCTGTGGCGATGGCTCACATACAAGAAATAGAAGGATTTACAACTACAACTATGAACTGGGGCTTTGGGGAGGGGGAAAAAGAGAAAGATTGGCAACAGATGTTAGCTCAGGGAGAATCTTTCCCAGCAAAAAATAAAAAATAAAAAAAATTTAAGTGCAAGTTGGGTTATAAGATACTGTTATTTTTACTTTTATAATATCTTATATATTTTTCTATACCATCACATGCACCTTTTTCCTTCTTCTTTTTTAGTGGATATTTACTAGTATAGACATAATTATTTAACTATTCTCTACTGATGGACAATTATAATATTTCCAGTTTTTTCACTATTACCAACCTTGCTGCAACACTCATAAATCGTTCGACAACTGCATGAATATAATAAGCCATTGCCTAAAATTTAGTCAAAATTCTAAAGACTCTAGATGTAAAAAGGAATATCAGGGAAAGGTAACATCCAGTTACAAAATCCAATTTAAGCTGCTGTTGTTAATACTATCAAGGACCATAAAAGTCTTATAACCTTTGATCCAGTGACTGCATTTTAAGGAAAATAGTCAAGAGAAGGGAAAGGCTGGACTTTTAATATTATCTGTAATACTGAAAAAATGAATATAATCTAAATGTCTGCTAACAGAGGCACTATAAGAAAATCAAGCAACATTTTTATAGCTATAAAATAGTAATTAGGAAGACTATTTAGCCATATTTAAAATGTTTCTTATGTTCACAGTAAAAAAACCACTCATGTACACTTAACCTTCTAACTAAGCTGTAAGCAACTGGCTCAATGGACCTAATGCATCCCAGAGAGGTTTTTGATTTGGGCTGCATGAAATTAGAATGAGTATCTTTATGCATAGCAAAAATTTTTCAATTCACTGTAGTCTATATTACTCTATAACATTTTACAACCAATGTTTCACCTATTCAGGCACCTGCATTCTTGACCTCTGAATATGGATGGGAACTGAGGACTTCAAAAAGATAAAGACAGATCTCCTGAAGGGTAGTGGGTTGCTCAGTGCACTTCTCTTGTGGAAGAAATAATACTTCCACTTACCCATTAAGATCTTATACTAGTTAATACTATGTACAATAAAACTGACGCACACATATATAGCATAGCAACATGTTCCCCCAGATTGGTTTCCAATGCCAATTTGTACAACTCAAGGCTAAACAGACGCTACATTGCAAATTTACGAAGGCACACAAGAAACGTACTCCTGGGTAGATCTGTAACTAAGACGACATAAGAAACAAAGCTATATTTTTTCTATACACCCCAGTTGCTATTCACACTCCTTTAAAAAAACCCCAGCATCACTCACCTAGTGACTTGTTTGTGGAAGTCTGTAAGTTGTTTGTGTGTCACTGTGACGGCTCCCACGGTTGTCTCCTTTGGCAAACCTTTCAAAGAATTCTCTAACCAGCGACAAAAAGTCTGTACAGAGAAGAAGAGAGTAAGAGTTTTA